GAAAATGTGGGATCTCCAACTTCATTTTTCTTTTTCAACATTGTTTCAGCCATTCAGGGTCCCTTGAGATTCCATGTAAATTTTAGGATGAATTTTTGTATTGCTGCAAAAACAAAACAAAACAAAACAAAAGCCATTGGGATTTTGATAGGGGTTGTATTAATCTGTAGATTGGTTTGGGTAGTATTGACATCTTAACAGCATTAAATATTCCAATCCATAAACATGGGATATCTTTCAATTTACTTGTGTTTAATTTCTCTCAGTAACATTTTGTAGTGAAAACAACAAGTATACAAGTCTTTTACCTCCTTGGATAAGTTTATTTCTAAATTTATTATTATTATTATTTTAAATTTTTATTTATTTATTTATTTTTGAGATGGAGTCTTGCTCTGCTGCCCTGGCTGGAGTGCGATGGTGCGATCGTAGCTCACTGCAAGCTCCGCCTCCTGGGTGCAAGCATTTCTGCCTCAGCCTCCTGAGTAGCTGGGATTACAGGTGCCTGCCACCGTGCTGGCTAATTTTTGTATTTTTAGTAAAGACGGGGTTTCACCATGTTGGCCAGGCTGGTCCTGAACTTCTGACCTCAAGTGATCCACCTGTCTTGGCCTCTCAGTATTATTATTTTTGAGACAGAGTCTCTCTCTGTTACCCAGGCTGGAGTGCAGTGGCACAACCTCAGCTCACTGCAACCTCTGCCTCCCAGGTTCAAGTGATTCTCCCACCTCAGCCTCCCAAGTAGCTGGGACTACAAGCACCCACCATCATACCTGAATAATTTTTGTATTTTTGTAGAGACAGGGTTTCACCATGTTGGCCAGACTGGTCTTGAACTCCCAACCTCAGGTGATCCACCTGTCTCGGCCTTTCAAAGTGCTGGGATTACAGGTGTCAGCTGCAATTTCTAAATACATTATTATTTTTGATGCTATTATAAATGGCATTGTTTTCTTAATTTCTTTTTCATATTGCTCAGTGTTAGTGTAGTTAGCAATGTGACTGATCTGTATGTATTTTTTACCCTGCAACTTTGCTGAATTTATTGTTCTAGTAGTGTGTTTGTGTTTGTGTGTGTGTGTGCACGTGCGTGTGCACATGAGCACGGGGGGTAAGCCTTAGGGCTTTCTACGTATATAGAGCTTTCTACATATGTAGGGTTTCTACAATTTAAGATCATGTTATCTGTGAACAGAGATAATTTTACTTTTTCCTTTCTAAATTGTGTGCCTTTTATTTCTTTTTCTTGCCTAATTGTGGTGTCTAGGACTTCCAGTACTAGGTTAGATAGATGGTGAAAGTGGGCCTCCTTGCCTTGTTCCTAATCTTGGAGAAAAACTTGCAGTCTTTCACTATTGAGTATATTATAATCTGTAGGCTTTTCGTATATGGCCTTTATTATGTTGAAGAAGTTTTCTTCTATTTCTAGTTTCTTTAGTGTGTGTTTTTTGTTCTGGTTAAGACAGGGGCTCACTCTGTCACCAAGGCTGGAGTGCAGTGGCACAATCATGGCTCACTGCAGCCTTGACTTCCCAGGTTCAGGCAATCCTCACACCTCAGCCTCCTGACTAGCTGTAACTATAAGCACACGCCACCATACCTGGCTGATATTTTTTATTTTTTGTGGAGCGAGGGTTTCACCATGTTGCTCAGGCTGGTCTCGAACTCCTGGACTAAAGCGAAACTTCTGTGTTGGCCTCTCAAAGTGCTGGAGTTACAGGCATGAGCTACTGTGCCCAGCCTCTTTTGTATTTTTTTCTTTTTTTATCATGAAAGGGTGTTAAATTTTGTCAAATGCTTTTTCTAAATCAATTGTGATGATCATATGTGTTTTTTTTTTCTGTCATTCTGTTAATTTGGCACATTGCATTGATTGATTTACGTATATTTAACCATCCTTGCATTCTAGAAATAAATATCACTTGATCATGGTGTAGAATCCTTTTCATGTGCTGTTGAATTCTGTTTGCTAGTATTTTGGTAAGGTTTTCTGTATCAATATTCATCGGGCATGTTTGTATTTAGTTTTCTTATTTTGTAGTGCCTTTGTCTGTCTTCAGTATACATTGATCTCAAAGGATGAGTTGGCAAGTATTTTTTCCTCTTCATTCTTCTGGGAGAATTTATGAGGAGTTGGTAGTATTTTTTCCTTGATCACTGTGCTATGTGTTAGCTTGTAATGTTATTCTTCATCATTTGGCTTAGCAAACTTTGCCTTGGCTCTCCTGTGTTCCTGACTTAAATTATTATTGGCTGTAACAGCAGATACACCTAACATCAGAATACTCATTTTGCATGATGATTTGGTTGGCAAAATCCAAATCTTACTCTTTTTTTTGGTTTTAAATTTTAATCAAAGCTCGTATATAAGATTACTTTATTCCTGCATCTTCTCAATTGTTTCTTCCTTGTATTTGCTCTTTTCCTTTCCTAGTTGGTGAGATTTAGCTTTTTGTTCAAGGACCATTTTGCTGTCTTTGTCCAGTTTTAACCTAGTGAGAACTACCTTGCTTTGGCAAGTGCCCACATGGACGGTTGTGCCATTAGCCTTTTCCCGCTGCACGCGTTCAGTGCAGATAACATATTTCTTCCTGTAAACCTGGACTACTTTGCCCATTTGCTGACCTTTATAGTGTCCTCATACAACCTGAACTTCATCATCCTTTCGGATGGGCATGGATTGCACATTGTACTTCTGTCTCAGCTCTTTGGAAAGAGAGGAAGACATAATCTTCCTGCGAATGTGGGAAGGTGCATTGAAATGCCTTTTGTGATTCTTGCTTCGGTCGGAAGTCACAAAGGGATTGAACTTCATTTCGGCCACCCTGGCTTCGATGATGGCCACAAAAGGGAAGAGAACTACACACTCATCTTACTCTTATTATAAGGAGTATAGAGAGAGTTCAGTTTGTCTGAAGCCAAAATGAAAGAATAATAAAGTTGGAAGGGCTGAACCAGTGTCTTAACTGTCAGATTTACTATGCCTTTAAAAAATATTTTTAACATTTTTTTATTGCTGTAAAATGATATTCATAAACCACCTATACTTTAAAAATTAATATGTGTGAGAATAAGTAAAAGGAAAACAATTTATAATAACATGCATTTCAGTGTGTAAATCCTAGGTCAAACTTCACTAGAAGTAGACAGAGGCTTGCATCTATATGTAAAATTAAAATAAATATGAAAGATACAAATGGAGGCTGATACAAATTCAGCTTTATTGTACTGGCACTAAATATTCTTATCGGCCGGGCGCGGTGGCTCAAGCCTGTAATCCCAGCACTTTGGGAGGCCAAGACGGGCGGATCACGAGGTCAGAAGATCGAGACCATCCTGGCTAACACGGTGAAACCCCGTCTCTACTGAAAAATACAAAAAACTAGCCGGGCGAGGTGGCGGGCGCCTGT